GGGAAAACGTAAATTGGCAGAACTGTCAAAATGATTAGAAAACAAAAGACTGTCACAGAATCGAAATGTTTCCTTTTCCGGTTGTCCCTCCCTCTTGGCACCCCGTCCCCCTGCTCATGTGAGCAGGCGAAGTCAGCCTTGGTTTATTCCACTTTCAGTCCTCCACGTCCAGGGTCAGAGATTCTTAGACTCACAGGGATCGTCTTGTCCTGCAAAGCCTCTCTAATGTCTCCTCCTCTGAGAAGGCCTCTGGGAGGATCCAGGGTGTCCTTCAGGAGGACCATGCACACTACGTCCCTCCAGGGTTTGGTCACCCCCCCTCCCCAGACTGGGACTTCTCCGGGGCCGGGATCCCAGGGAAACGTGGGGCGTGGTGGCAGGTCCTGAGTGGCATCAGTTCAGTGAACGATGAGTGGGTGTGCGGGGCTGGGAGCTCAGCTCTCGTTTTCCACGGGGACAAAGCGTGGCCCCGACAGGGTCTGCTGTGTGTGCTGACTGGCACTCAGGCCTCATTTGACCCGGTCTGGACCCAGCCCCACTTTGTTCTCTGCTCTCAACTCAGGCACCGGAAACATGGGCACGGAACTGAGGTCAGGGGGAAGTACGAGAACTTCTATTTGCTTTTCGCCCTTATACTTCTCTCTGTTTTCATTTTTGTTTTATGGTGGACGCGATAAAGTAGTTCACCTGGACGTGGGCAGATTTACGAACACAGAGATGTGCATTAATATAGGACGCATGACGGGGGTGTGGTCAAACCACAGCCATCTAGTGACAGAGGAACCCCATCACGTCCTGGACTTCCCCACAATGGGCCTTTGCTTTTCCCGCCTCTCTGAGCAGGTTTCTCCCCAACTTGCCGCGGACTTTGTATCCTGTGACTCCACACTCCCCTGCCACCTTTGCCAGGAAGCCCACCTCTTTCTTCTGGATTCGTCCATGACACGTATTGGCGTTGCTTACCCTCACCGGGCACTGGTCCCCAGGAAAGGGCAGTGTCCACGGTGGGAGGAAGTGCTCAAGGTCAGGACTTCTGCTTCCTGGGCCCTGGGCACTGTCCCTCTCATGGAGCCGGGCTGGTGCTACCTGGACGGATGCTGCCCTCTGTTGGAAACACTGCATCTTGCACAGCAGCTGTGGCCCTGGGACATGGATCCACCCCCTCACCCTCTGGCTGGACCCGATGTGGCAGCTCCCCGGGCACCCTCCGGTTTGGGAAGTCACCTTGGGTATCTCTTTTCAGGAACTTGGAGAGGATTTCCTTGGTGAGCGTGTCCTCCAGGTGCTGGAGTTTCCCCTCGTCGGGCAGGATGAAGAAGGCGGTGGCATTGCCCACGTAGTCCATCAGCAGCACCCAGCTGGCGAGCGTGTCGCAGTAGTGGAGGTCGAACATGCCCAGGCGGCTCATCATGGGCACCTTCACTGTGGTCTCCGCATCCACGTGGAAGTCCTCCTCTGTGGTGTGCTTCTCATCGAAGGGCTTCTCCCATTTGCCTGGAGGGAAGGGGTGGCAGACATCAGCCAGGGATGGGAGAAGGTTTAATAAAAGTCGTAGAACAAAGGAGCCCTGAGCCTCTTGGCCAGACACTTCTCTCCGAGCCTCAGCTTCACTGCCTATAAAATGGGGCTCAAATGAACGATCAGTCTACAGAACGGACGGTTGGGAGGGTCGTTGAAGACCAGAGTAGGATTCAGAATTCCTATAACGTGGAGGCTGAGGGTGCCAATCTGTCTGTGCAGAGTAAGGATCCCGAGTTGTATTTCACACTTACTTACTTGGGGGTGGCTTGGGAAATTCTAAAGGAAAATTATTGGCACCAGTCATACATGGCACCTCCTTGTCTGAGTCTCCCTGCCCCTTGGTAATTGGCCGGGCTTGTTATTCAGGGAATCCACTCTTGTTCCTGCTCTAATGGCTTTTGCCTGGACCAACACGAGAAATGCAGATGCCCGGGCAGGGCGCCCTCTGCTCCAGCTGGCGAAGCTCACCATCCTGCTGAGTCAGAGTGGGAGGCTGCCTCAGGGATCCCAGGGCCCAGGTTTCCCATTTGATGGGAGGAGGAGACTGAGGCTGGGGAGGGGACGACACCCACCTGAAGTCCCACCGCAGAGCTGGGACCAAGGAGCTAACAGTGTGAAGGAGGCGGCCCCTGGCCTAGACACTCACCTTCCCTCCCCAGGCCATCTCCGTGGACCTACTGAACTCCTTAGAATGGGGCCCAAGGTTCCTGACA